GGGTTTTGCTGTTTTGTAGTTTTTTTTTGTAAATTCCATGGTTAAATACCTTTTAAACATTAGTTTAAGTCACGTTGAATAACACGATTTAATTCGGCTCGCATAATGCCTGTTCAACAATCTTCCCTTGTTCGTGAAAGCCTGGTTGGATCACCTTTTTGATCCATGTAGGAAACGACCACATTCAACATTGGACCATACGTCCTTTTTTCTATTAATTGTGTACCGGCACAGATTTCATGCAATTTTTTTCCATGACCTTTCATTGCTCATCTTTAATGAGTTACGTGTCCCTGTAGTTAAGAATAACGAAATTTGTAATCAGAATAAGGAGACAACTGGTTGATAGAAGCATAGGTAATTATTAATTTCTTGCTAAAAGTAATATTTTCCAGGGTATTTTATAAGAAAGCATTATTTATCTATGTTGGGAAAGTATTTATATACTATAAATCCAGACATACGCTTTGAATTAACTTACATTTAGGGCAAACTTTCGTGCGATTGCAACTTCTTGTTGAAACCGAGCTGCCCATTTTTTATTCTCGTGCGTTTGCAGACAGCCTGACTGCAGCTTTTGCTGATACCATTCAAATAAGTGTCTTGATAATCAAAAGCAGGAAATTGATAACTTTGCAACCAACCTACTGTAATATAGTTGCCGGGGTAAATTGTCTTTTTTTCCTAAAATATACAAGAATCAAAAATACGCTCACTTAAGAAGTCATAAATTTTCTAAGCTATGCCAGGGAGATTGTGGACTAGTGTCATTCATCAAGAAAAATGCGCGTCCCACATTCGGATGAATCCAAACCCCTTTGGGCAAATTTTAATAAATTATTTCACCTCTTGTGTATGTGTGAATCCTGATTTCGATGGATATTAATTTTTTCCGTGTCGGCCCAAAAAGACAAATTATCAAAAAGAAGATTAGTCTTATTTTTTAAGCGAAATACAGTACAGCTGATTTTGTTGTTTTGTTCTTGTTTAAAACTGCTCTAACAATTGCAACATAACCTAGGTTTTTATAATAAAAACAGCAATGTTGCTGTTTTATTTTTGTTGCCCAGGCAACACTTTTCATTTCCTAACCGAATTCAATTTTGGAAGCATGCAGCGATTTAAATCTCGTCTGATAATTTGTCTTTTTGAGCTACCATCACGCAGGGGAAGCCAATTTTGCAGCTGAATACAGCCGAAAATTTAGCCATTCACGGATAAAACAAGGAAACAAATCTCATATTATATTAAAAAAAGGTTGCCTTATAAGCATGATGACGAAATAGTAAACAGATTTACGTCTTCTCTTCCACTGGACTTGAAATCACCCTGTCATCAAATAGAGTAATTTAATCAAAATTTAAAAAAAGGTAATTGTTGGCAAAAATTCGTATTATTCTCAACCACATCAACGATTCTACTCGGCAGCCACTTTCCACAAATGCTCTGGACGAGCAATCCATATTTTAAAATGCTGCACGCTCCTGACCGCTCTCTGTGATTTTCCAATCACAAAATATGTTCTCCAAAACGATGCTGCATCATACTGTTCACATAGTCGACGTCTATTCAGTCCCGCTTAACTTTGTCCCTCAATCAAATCGGAGCAAAATGGTTTGATTAATTCCTTGATATAAACATTGCCTTACTGAATGGTTAAACAAGGCTGTAGTGAAACCGACCTTCATCATCTGAACGGACCTACAGACTGGCTACCAATTAGAGCGATCCCTTTCGTTCTTCTGAGTCCATTTCGCCTTCATCAGGGGACCGTCTACGTGTTCTAAATGCTATCAACATGCAGCGTTTTGTGAATTCTGATTCCACCTTAATACAATGTGACCCAACGCGAAAATGTACCGAGAGGTAAGATCCAGTGGTCTATCTGATTTGATGCAACCTCAGTCTTTGAGGCCAGCAATACGAAAATGAATCCAGGTAGGTTGCCAAATAGCGTCAGTTAGTTTTGTGTGTTCCCTCTTTAAGGCATCTTATGATAACGCCATTTTATGCAACACAAGACAATACTCCGTTATCTTAAAATAGGTTTCGCATTATTTTTAGAGACGTATTGCAATTTTAAACTGTTCTAGTTTGAAGTATTCTTTAACAAACTCACCAATGAGATTGCGCTCAAGTTGTTCCAACGCCGCCAACATATTTCTTTAAATTTGATATAGAACTTAAAGCAATGCTTTATGGGTTAGTAAATGGCCAAGAGTGTTGACTAATACGAATAATAATACATTCTACGTTATTTCTCTCATACAAAAGAAATCGCAGCAAAAAAACCGACAAGGAATTTGCACATTGGTACTCTGGGTGACTTTAGTTATTAGTACATGTAACACACATTTGCACATATTCATTTTACCCAGATGACAAGTAAATCTGAGTACGTCGAATCATTCGGCCTCCACCAGACCTTTGGTTACGAAGAGCCCATTGATGAGCTTGAATGAACCTTCCTAGTGTTCCACCCAATATTTGACTAGTTTTAACTGGAAAGTAAGTAAAGAGTTACTTTTCGCTAAAGAGGGTAAGGTATCAAGGTGATGTACTGCAAATGAGTTTCCGTGGAAAGCCATGGAAAGGATGAACAACCAAGAACCCGCCGTGGCAAGCCCCACTGAGTGCAGGTTTATTGAGGTGGCAGACGGGTCGGGTGCACGTGGCGGAGAGGAGAGAACTGCGATCAGACAACCGCAAGTGCAAATAATTGAGAATTGACTGGATATCACGAGTCTGAGATAAGATTAACTAGTTACGCAAATTTTCAGAGCAGCAAGGGACCCAGTCAGTCAGTAATAAAGCGTGTAGACGACTTACTATTTCCCGTTGTGATTTACAAAACGCATCCTAAGTGCAATGGTAGATGCAAGATAACGCCATGGTAGTAATAATATCTTTAAAACAGACAAATAGCCCATAGGCAAACTACATTCGATTTACCACAGCAGTTATAAAAAAAGGTTGAAAGAAGGTGAGCTCAGAAGCAAGAAGATTGACAAGAAGAGATATGACATTGTGGAAGTAAATAGTCTAGTTCGAGGGATGTAAAAATAGGTGCACACATGTGCGCTTCGAGTCAAAAAAGTCAGCAAGTCAGGGCCATGAGAAGGGAGGTGGGGGTGGGGCATAACTGCGTCACAGCACCACAGTTCCTCGACGGAAAACAGCCACAGATTATGACGGAGGGGTCCTTTGGAGTGGACGCACACTTGCAAGCGGTAGTGGAGACGGTGACATCTCGGGGGGTTCCTCGAGGACATGGGGGTAGCCTGCTGTCTGCAAGCCAGCTGAAATAACACGAAGAACTTGCAACACGTAAGGGAATGCGCAATTGGATTCGAGTGAACCTGCACAGGAGGCAACGGTCAATGGCTTCAAATCGATTTTCGCCATTCGCAAATACCTCAGAAGAAACGCTGTTGAAAGTTGACAAATGGTAGCTTGAAAATAAGCAAGTGTGGGAATGAAACGCTAGGGTAAGCCACCTCTTGAAATGGAAAAGGACAATATGGAATAGCGAATCTTCATTAATCTTGCTGAAATATTCTCACAAACTAGTAGATTTTTTCTACAGTCGGTGATTAATGGGCGGCAGGGAAGAATCAAAATCGACTGCCTGCCTCTGCATGAAGTGCACATGCGCATGTCTAGTCAAAATTCACTTGAGAGTAGCGTTGAGAGATACGCCGCAACACAGCTGGCCGGCCACACGACCATCGGCTCCCACCGCCTGGCAGACAATCATGCTGGGGCGCTCATACATTAGTCACACGGCGTGCGCGCGCACACTCCCCGCCACGACTGCTCCCCATTCCCCCCACGCAGACAGAAATGCGCGCACGCACGCAAACGCACAAGCATGTGTGTGAGTGCTACCAATAGGCGATCTTGGATTGGCTGTCTTCTCTGCACGCCTCGGACACGTACGGTGAAGCCGCATTCGGAAAGGCGATTTACGCGCGCGGATGGCGCATTTATTGCGAGCTAAAAAAGCGCTCAATAAAGGCGCGTTGCGCACGCCAAACACACACACACACACACAAAGCTAGCGACGCGTGCCACTCGCGAGGTGGCAAGTTGCTTTGATTGACGCACGTGGGAGGGGTAACAACAGTTAGGAGTCAAAACACAGCGGAACCTGTGTGGCACACAACACGATATGTTCATGTCTCTGGCAATTTCACGTCTTATTTCGAACAAATAGCCTCAGGCGAACTTGTTGTATGGTATCAACTACTGCCGTCGGAATATTTTAATCTCTACACTGCTTCCAGAATGGTGCATTTGTGCATCGGTTTAAAAACCACATTTGCGCACCTGACGCGTTCTGTGATGAAACAACGGCACACATTGGTTGCAACAAGTGACCGCCGCAAGAAAAAGGCCAACAGTCAGACGGTGCCAAATTTTGGCGTCACCGCGACAGTGTGGCCATAAACAAACACAGGAACTGGATTAAAAGTGTGCACACTAGTAAGTTCGACAAGGAAGAAGCGACAGGATTGAAGGCAAAAGCACACCATGCAGGAACTAAGAAGAGGCTGTGACGTACGTCTTACAATAGAGAGGGATTTCAAAGACCAGATCGCAAGTTTTTGACTCATCCGACTGGATCGCTCCTTCTAGGCCTGCTCCATCGATGGGGACTCGGAATCAGCCGACGTGTTAACTATTTCCGTCAACTTGGCGATTAAGTCCCGATTTTCAACAGCGACATCTTGCCTCTTGTAAAACAGTATGTAGGCTCCGGGTTGTATGACCTTTAATCGAAGAGATTTATTGTGAATAAATTCACTACTGTTAAATTTTCAGTACATAATAGAGAAAATCGTGAGCTTATGAAGCGTACCAAGAATGAACCAATTGAATTGCAACTAGCGCAACCAGTACCGATTTGAGTAATTCCAACTTAAAAAGTGATGTGGGCCCACATAATTTGAAAGGCTACAACAAAAGCCGACGTCATCCTGAGCATACCTGGTCGGAGGGCACCTTCTGGACCTTGAGATCGTTGTAGTGCCACCACTGGCCCGTGAAGAGGTTCTTGCAGTAGGCGGTGTTGTGGCCAGTCTCAACAGGCCCCTTGTGGATGCAGACGGCGACAAGGTCATACATCAACCCCCCCGACTGCCACTCAGGTTTTCGGGAAGAATTACGCCTGAATAGCCTGACTGGCAAACAAATACAAAAAAACGGTGTACAGATCAACATGGCGTGATTAGTTAAACTCTTGAGCGAGTGATGCTCACGAAGACAGCAATGAGGCCAATAAGGCTCCGATGAATGTTCGCGAAACCACCACGTGGAAGAAGGAGTTCCAGGCACCGGTGCGACAAGGCACAGCACACACCTTACGTGGTGAGTTACCTTCGACGCCGCCGTGCTACGGAACACTGAATGGTTGGTTTCTTGCGCGACTGGTGACCAAATTGGTCGTTCACAAGTAAACGTTTCAATCTACATAGATGCATAACCAGTGAATTACCAAAGTTTGCCTCGGCTTTTTTTCGGAAATTATAGGCATCAAGAAGATGCCAGCAGACTGCATTTGGTAGTTTCACGTTCAAGATAACCTTCTCTGAGTCGTGATATCAAAGATAAAAATTTTCAATCATTTGGCAGTGCAAATGTCTATGTCTGGTGTAAACAAGTCGAAGATATTTCATGTTTTTACAAAAAAATAAAACCTGCATCAAAATTATCCAAAAATGCACATTCGATTGGGAAACTTCGATTGACTTCAGCGGGTGGTGCAATTCATTGAGATCCACTACACCAAATCGAATTACATACACTCCTGTCTCATGTACCAAATGTTAGTTCTTACCACACACGCCAGTTGATTATTGGCACACTAACTATCAAATTAGTGGTAATATCGGAATTCTCAAAGCTATACCGACAACCCTCGAGAGTTTGGTTGAATAGCATTTGTCTAAACTACGCACTAAAAACACTAGAAATATCACCGAAATCAGCGTTATTGCTTATGAAAGGCGCCTAACATTACAGCAATGTTATTGTTTTCGAATTTGCAGGCCATTACTGCTACATGCTTTAATACGGAACAGAAAAAAATTATGACAAGGCCTTACCTCTGGATGATTTGGAGGATTCGAGCATAAAGGAAAGGTCGAGATTTTCGATTGGGTAGTCAACCAAGGAGTTGATTTTCATCAGTCTGCTACCGCCTAAAGTAGGAAAAAAACAAGTAGAGAAGCCAGCGTCCAAGTGCCTAATCTAGAAGGCCGTGTAATTTAGATGGCAAGCATATCAGAAACAGCGTGAATTGCAAAACACAGGCAATCTTGGGGGACACAGCCCTCTTGACCGGGCATCCTCCCCATTGAAGCATAATCAGCGGAAGCCGCAACGGAAACCGACCCAGACAGCGACCCAACTACGTAAGGCGACAAGACGTCCCACTAATCCCTTTTAACAACTACGTGTCATCGAGTGGCAGTAACCAGGCTTACCAATTGCACACAGGCACCGGCTTGGAGGCTTTAAGGTGCAGCGCCAAAGAGCGTGGAAGAAGTCAAAACCATTTCGATAAAAAAATTCCTGCATAACGTCACTTTTTCATAATGCTTATAATGTGCTTGATTGAAAAAAGAGTGAGGAGATGGGCGAGCACAGGATGGATCACACGGCGATACCACGATAAAAGTACATACATGAAATAAGCTCGGGGGATTCAGCGATAAAACAGACTTGCCTGTGGCTTTATCTTGATGCTCATGAATTAATGGAACCTGAACGAAGAGGCATAAATGAAGAAGAAGATAATCTGGAGGCTGCAGCAGTGTAGTCTCGCGGAGGGCCGAATTCTGTTTCTTGTGGCAGTGGGGACACCTGAACGGCTGAGCCCGTGCGACTAGCTCCTTCTCCACAAAAGCCTAGGCCATTAAAAAAGGAGGAAAGGAAATGCACAGACACGCGCCTCATAAGTCAAAACAAATCACACCCTCCAGGCGGGCAACTTACCCACTACACTACCATACTTGGCACGAATTAACGTTCGAAAGGTGCTTTTGTAAAAAAAAAGTGGAAATAAACCCAAGGAGCCTTTCGGTGCTACTCATTACAAAACCCTTTGGAGCTCACTCGCATAAACATGCCTGCGTCTTCATCTGCAGCAGCCGAATAGTTGCAAAAATAGTAGAGCTACAGGATATAATTCGGAAAACACGATTTAGAACCAGCCTTCAACTGATTTCTGACGATATCAGACAGTTCAGCATGAGATTAATTTGACCTACAATATAATCTACAATTTTAATATCACCATGATTACACAAAGCACCTGGTCCGAAATTTTGGTGTTTTACTTAATCCAATACCATCTTAGACCGAAACGATAATATGCCAGCTAAAATGGAGCACACGTTTCCGTCCAAGCTCAACTTAGTTCAGTTTCGAGACAACAATAGCAAGATGAGACAGATAAATCGCGAGTAAATGGGCACGAATAAGTCAACTAGTGTAAGTACTAACCTTGAGACATTTCTGGATAGTTAACTTAGAATCTGAGGCGACATCAGGTTTGTCGGTGTTTTGAGGCTTGGCGTGCCGACCGTTGTTAGCAGAGGAGGTGGCGGTGGTCGTGGTTGAACTAAGAGTGGGCGTTTCCGAACCTGAAGCCACAGTCACTTGGAATGTTGGCAGGAGGTCAATGGGTTGCTGAGGCCAGACGACTAGGAGTCGAAGGAGACGAGGAGCGCCACTTGCCGTGGAGCACAACCATCGCGGTAGGGGAATGGAAGACACCTCGACAGTAGAATGTAATAGCGGGAATTCCTGATTTGAGAGGATTTCACACGGCTCCTTCAGAAAAATGCAAACATGCACATTTGATGTAGACACCGGAACAGCTGGCCAAGTCATGCATTAACTGCTTGTGCAAATAAAGTGATCGAGTTTGCACGATTACGAGAAACTAACACAGGTGGCTACACTGTTCTGCCTACATCAAGCTACATAAGTAAGTCCAAGTAACACACGATGCTACACGAAGGCAACAACAAACCGAGCTCAGAGAAAGTACCTATGTAAGTTGCAGCAGTAACCACGATGTTAAGTCAATATGAACCAAGATCTGCGGGATCATTGTGATTATTTGTCAATACTCAATGGTTTTGTGAGCAAAAATAAAATACTAAGTCACATTTGGATTTACGAGCACTCCTTATTTCTAGACGCGATGGTTAAGATGAAGTTAACTCACGATAAGGAAAAGTGTCATCTACCACTTTCTAGGGACCTGGGACCGGCTATTAAAACGGCAGCATCGTAAATTACTGACGCTGAAGCAGTTTCAGACGGTGTAGATCTGACAGGAGCATGCTATGAAGTTATAGTATGTGAATAATCTTCGTGTGAAAATTCAGGAAAATACGAGAAGGATCTCTGCAAGCCCACCAAATTGTCCCAATTAGTATTAAAACATGCTATGCTTTAAGACGCGTCTTTTCAAAAGCACTGGAGTAAAAAAACGTACCATGGCACAGTTAACATATCATGGAAACGCATTAATTGGTTAAAATCGTTTTGACCAGCTAGACAGGGTGCATGCTGAATGGAAATGCGGAATTTCGTGAGGTCATAGTAAGGTGCCACTAAACATCGGATAAATCAGCGGAAAAAGTGAACTGCCGTACCCAAGGTCCGGCGTCGACCACCCAGAAGTAGACATTCACGAAGGCCTTCGAATCAAAGACGCGTTCAAAATGTGCCTCTGTGTCGTTCTTAGAAAAGGCTAACAGGGAGCGAAGCGCTAAAAGTCGCAGGCTCTCAAAATCTATCTCCTTGGGCACCTAGAGAAGGAGAGAAGAGGGCAATAGCATTATTGATAAGTGAGCACGAGATCACACAAGTAGGTCAACTCCATTCGCGTGGATTTGGCGAAGTAGGTAAACACGAAATACGAAAATTTTTCAAAGTGCCTCGATGTGAGATGGCAACGTCGCTGGCTTAGGTGAGAACACTACAAATAATACATTTAAATTGCATTGACCGCTTGATAAGTCGTTATGCATTACCCTGAGGTATAATGAGACACCCAATGAGTGTTAAGTCCAATTAGAGGACACGGAACCGCTGTGGTTGAGAACCACTCACGGCATATTGGCAAGTGTTGCCAGTTTGACCACACCAATTCAGCATTCGCAGTGAATGATGGGATGGGCGACCACAATCGATTGCAATTTGTGAAGCCCCTGTGACGACAAATACCAGTTTATTGTAATTACGATGCTTGAGGCAGTGTTGCTCGATTTGGCCTTCGTAGGTGCATGAATAAAGTGCTCACACCCAAAAGTTGACGTAACTGCAAAAATCCAAAGGCTTGAGTTTCTGCAGGCGCAAATTATCTTCTGAACTTGGAAATTTGCTGGGAAAGATGCTGGCCTAGCAGCGACTCATGACAGAGTAAAGTGCACAATAGTATTATGACAATACACATTTCAGTTCAGGAGTGTTTAAGTTCGTAAGTTACGTTCCATTTGCCAGACGGTTTCCATACTCAGAGAAATTAGTGCAAGTACAAAGAGGTCTGATGACACGGCATATGTAATAAAGGGCTGTCACGTCCACATATATGCATGCGCACAAACACACGCACAGTTGACTTGCTATTTGCCTGCATGGAGAGAGTTCAATTCCCCGGTGAGAATTACTAGCACTTAACTAATCGGGGGATCCACACAACAGCCGATGAATACACAAAATGTTTTCTAGAATCCGAGAAATGGCGTACGCTGACAGGCGTTGGTACTCACGTTGAGCGTCAAAGGGGGCGAAAACCGTTGAAAACCCGCCACTCGAGCGGCATTGGTTCCGTCGAAGGAGTCGCACGAGGCATTCTTTTGTTTTGATTCTGTTACATGCACCAAGAGAAGTTGAATATAGCCCTCTACCTGAAAAGTACAAAAAAGACAGCATTAAATGAGGTGGATACGAAGACACATTTTAACAATGAAGAGATGCTTGTGTGCCCTCGTTGTGGACATCTCGGTTACAAACGTCAACAGAGACAGCAGTGTGGGGCGGCATGGAATTAGACTCATAGATTCTACACAAAAAACCAATGCAGGTGTGATTGGTAGTTTCCGCCACATGCAAAATCAAATACTGCGTCATCGTCGAACATCGGCCGGATCTGCATCCACTAAAAGTTAATCAATTCAAAAAATGATATGAGTCTACACACGTTGTGAAATACTCATCTTAGATATGCAAAATAATTAAAAGGATTTGCGTATTGAAGTGGAATTGATTTGACAAAGCTGAAACGAAAAAAGTGGGCGGGGTGCTAACGTAGGATTGCCATAACCTGATTTAAATTGATGTGCAATGCCTCCAAGGCTACAACTCAACAAAGATCAATGACTTAAGCCTTAGGGAAGACGAAACTACAAAAAATAGGTGCACAAACTCTTCAAGCTATAAAGGTCATTGGTTCTGACATTATGATATTGACGAGCCTTGTCTCGAACTTAGCTTTTAGATGAATATGGTTTGAACCAAACTGAAACAAACCACAATGGAGAGTACGAAGATGAAAGGTCTAGAGTATTGAAATAACGCTGATTAGGATCCACATGTGACAGCCAAAGCCATAGCGTCAGGTCCACACAGCAATACACATAAAAGGGGCGAAATCGGGCCCGTGGTCAGTCCGCATTATCAAAAGAGGAAAGTGCCACAAAATCCACAAGCAGCACCAATAAGTCAACGATAACACAGCTGAAGTTACTTACTCAAAATAAGCCGACTGAGCCTTGTTTGAGAAGGTTCAACACCCAAGCTATGCAAAATCAAGCAACAAAAGCACGAATGCAAGCAAGACGACACACGAAAACAACCAATGCGTGTGGCCGTTTGGGACAGAAAGCTGGTATGAAGGCGTAAACAATTGTTTGAAGTTGCGGGAACAACAAGGGCACTGTAAAATTGCACGATTGCTTTGAAATTATTACCAGCACTGAGTGAATTTGAAGAAATTACTACCGGTGTTCAAGTCGTTGATTTTGACGCAATTTCAATTATTTTAAAAACATCTAATTAAAGTGGCGCACAGATCAATCCCATTCCTGCAAAAGAGGAGCACATTAAGGCGTCAAAGTCGCTTACGTTTTGCGCGGTTGTAGAACATGGCTGATAAAAACGATCATCGTTCGGGTGAATTTGATCAATCAGTGGAGATGAAGAATTGAAGCATGAGTCAAAATCCTCCTGAGGATGGTTATTGAGATGAACAATGAAAAGTCCATCATCCACTAGAAGGTTCTTTTTAACAGATTCCCTCGCAGATGGCGTGTTTGTGTGAACTTCGTCTTCCAAATTTAAACCATCCACAAGGTCGATAGCACGGCCAGAGGGGTCCTAAGAGAGGAGTAGCAGGAGTCATTGATACCCGCCTAATTAACAGCTTTTACCTAATCTAAACTGGGAAAGCCAGATTGACACAACAGTCAGCTTGACACAGGACAAACACTAATTCAACCTTCAGTGCGGTGGCACGACCCGGTATCTTGGGTGGGCTCACAGAGGAAGGGGCAATAAACCAAATGGTGCCGGTCTTGTCGCCTCGATTGGTTGCTGGCTTCTCATTTTGAGCTTTTTACCTTTGCATGACAAAACATGCTTGTAAAAGACGCCTTATTTTTTTGGATTTATGGATTAATTGGGAATCTAGACGCATTAAATGTAAAATAAGTTTACGTAATTTTACAGCCAAAGTGACTTTTGGAGGAGGCAAATAATTGCGATAAGAAACCGAAGTTATACTGCCAGGGGGCTCCTGGATCAGGTATGGCTTTGAAATATTACTTTATAAGGATCGTTAGATCCCTTCGTGCTTGTACATGAAGGTAAACAACGAATAAAAAATAACTTGTTTAATTGAATAGTACAGTGGGCCATCTCTTCTGCAATGAAAATTCCACTTATAGAGGACTAAAACTAATTTTGATTAACTAAAACATCACACTGATTAATTAAGGCACAACAAATTTTAAACAAAAAGCGCTCTTTTGGGAAAATCGTGGCTTTCTGTGGTCAAAAGATCTGCAAATGTTATTTTTGTTATTGTTAACTACTGATAAGAATTTAACTATTTCTTTGGAGTCCTTAGACTTTTGGACTTTGCAATTCAATTCCGCGTTTTATTTATCCTCCTGATAAGCTGATGTACGGAGGAAGTTGTTTCTAGAAGGATGAATTCTTCAAAGTTGACATAAACTCACTAAGTGACGTAATGCACTTACCAGAAACCAGTCTCCAAAGCCTGTAGATTTAGCCTGCACAAGGAGAAATGGGTCATGGTGGCGAGCTGGTAGTGGTTGAGGGTCGTTGTGGAGTGATGAAATAGACGTTTTTTTTTGATCATGATAATTTGAGGCAACTGCAGTGGCATAAGAGCCTTTACGCGAAGTGGAATTTGTTGCGTTGAGGCCAATTTGGGACATGGAAAAAATCAGGTTGTAAACGTTTTGAATGTCCGTATTAGGATCGAGACAGAGAAGGTGTCTGTAACACTGCGGCTGAAAAGAATTGATTCACAAATGGTGTAAACAATCGGGTCGAATAACCCCTTATATATATATGTCCATCACGACATTATTCGCCTGATTAACATCACGCTGCCTACGGCGGTACTTTTGTTTTAGGTATAAAAATAGAAGATTGGTCGTAAATGATAAATGGCCTTCAAAACGTTAAAGTTACTTCAGCAAGCTTTTAACTGTGCAAAAGATAGGGATTTTTCAAACTCACTGGTTTCATTTCGCGAATTTGATTAAAGACAATCTTCAGTTCAGAAACATTGGTATTTTCTACAGAATCCGTCGCTGCCGCCATTTCTTCAATTGAAATGGGAATTGGGAGCGACAAAAAAAGAAAATTCTCGGGATTTTCTTGTGGAGGAGCACGATTTGATGAAGAATTTGAAAATGGCCCCAGTTTGGATGAATTATAATTGCTTAAGGTCTTATGGCAGTCGGGACATTTAAATTGCTTCTGAAGTACACCTTGAAAGATTTTCCACACTTCCGACGTTCCAGATCTACCAGAAGTTTCGTCATGCAGCCGATGAAGCAGGAAAAACAAAAATTCTTGTGCATCCTGCTCCCGAGCTTCTTTAAATTGCTAACGTTAAAAATGAAGACCGATTTAAAATAACGATATTATTTTAAAAGGTTAGAAGAAAACTTATGCTTACGTTGTCAAGTGTGCCAATAACACGACGAAAATCTTCTAGTTCAGACTTAAAGTTCCGTTTGAATATTGCTAGGCAAAGTCTCGAGAGAGCGAGGGTAAGTGAGTCGCTACTTGATTGAGAATATTCCAGCACATTCATATTAGATCTATTGATAAGCCAATCAACAAGGGGGTGGATGGCGAATAGGCATTGAAGCGTAGCATTTATGTAGCAGGTGTTTCCTAAATTTGTTAAGCCTGGTGGACACGGCTGGTTAGACTGAATAATCAGCTGACGATTCTCAGATCTCGTACGAGACAATGTCAAATCAGTTCTAGATGACCCATGAGACTTTTTAACCATCATGAAGTTTTGAAATAATTAGGCGGAAAACCCGGGTAATGTGTCATAAACAAGGTGAAAATCCACCCAAATGTTGAGGATATCCGACTTTGGCTAAAATTCGAAAAGAAGGCAATTATTTCGATTTCGGCGAGTTAAATTAAAAAAGGATCTCAAAAAATTAATTAATCACTAAATAAAACACCAAACAATGCCAAAGCTAATACAACACACAAATTCAGCCAATGATGAAAAAACGATTCCAGACTAATTATGTTCCCAATGTTTAGCGAAAGCAAATACTTAGAAAACTACATTTTACTTTAACACATCACCAGTAACAATACAATTTCTAACTAGCAAGGGAAGCACCATGGAAATTAGGAATACATAGAAGGAAATTGATTTAAACAGCAGTAAGATAATATAGGACATTCGCAAAGCATAAAATACAGCTACAACACACAAAAACAGCTAATATCTGCAAAAAAACTTTCTTAACAATACAACTTGAAAAATTTATAAAAAATAATAAAAATCACACAGAAGAAACACTAAAACTTAAAAGAAACACCCGTTTATATTACGCGGTATTCATCAAAATCACTTTGAAGCCACCTAATGCCAGAGTCAAAACAAAAAGATTACACAAAGCATTTACAAAAAAAATTCATGCAATACCTTTTGGAAAATTCGAAGTAAAAAACAACATTATTAAATAAAAAAACAGGTGGATCATGAACATAAAAAAACTATCGGATTACGTCCGCAAAACAGAAATACGCAGTTAGTCCAATTTAGAAAAAAACAATGCATGTTAATATAATGACTGAACTTTGAGCAAAATCAGAATAAAAGAAAAATGACAACGCGTTAAATAGCACTTGATGAAACACACAAGTAAAACCTCCCGCTAACGCGACGTCTCAAGGTTGTTTGTGTTTTCACACATACCTCGTTTATCTCACTACCTGTGTTTGTTCACCAAAATAAGAGTAAAAACGGTTTCTTAGCTGCGTGTTAAAAAACACGTACGGTGTGCGGCATTTTCGACTTTTCGTAATTGCATAGTACCTGAAGTTGTGTAAAATAGCAAAATTATTTGCTGCACAGTCAGCTCAGAGCTATGGCACTAAATGCTTTGCAAAGGATATGTACTTAAATATTGTGGTAATACAAAACGAACACACACATTTCAATTAAAGTTCAGACTAGTTTGAAACTTAGTAGCACAATAGGTAAAATAAGACGAGAAATATATTTGGCGAAACGTTAACTGAAAATCAGGTTGGAGCAGGCTACGAATGTGATTGGGGTGACAACTATTAGAGCTTTTTACAAAGATAGTTAAGTTTAATAAGCCTTTTCAATAGATGAAAAAGCAACTAAATATTTCGTCTACATAGAGTTTGTTTTCCAGGTTGACATCTTTCTGTCTTCCGTAAAGAATCCACACTTCAAGAAAGTTTGGCTTGGAGAGGCGTTGAGCTTTTTCCTCATTGAAGATTCAACTGTTTTTTCCAATTCGGTTTTGACAAGTGAAGCAAACAACATGTGGACCAGTTTGTTTGCTGCGTTACACATTAGGCACCTCAAATGTACGGTTCGGTGAGGAGAAACAAAGTATTTGCCAAAATCACAGTTGCATATAATCAAAAAAAAAATGCTAGAACCAGCCAAATTATTTAGCTGCTCGGTCGTGATTGTGTGCTAGGCATAGTCGCAGCATCCACGTGCACATATAAGCGATAATTCAATCACCTGAGAAAATGCCAAAGATAGTTGGGGCCTTTTAATTCACCGTCTGTAATATTGGAGAGGAGACAACCTCTGACATTACTCAGCAGCAGGGCATCCGCTGCGTCTGAGGTAAATGGCCAAGGTGTTTCGTCATCGGACATATCCATTTGTTGTTTCGTCGACTTAAGTGCCTGTGCATCGAGGAAAGTGGATTGATGTTGGGAAAATATGTCGTGATGCAAAAATCACTTCGTTTGCGAGTCCCTCACCAATTTCACTTTAGGCACCCCAACAACCACCGCTTGAAGTCCATTACCTACATCCACGTCTACTGACTACTCATGGATCAACAACGCGCTGACCCAGTCAAGGGCAGCTCTTGACGCCAGCAGGCAACTAAAGATATCGCACGTCAACTGCAGCTTTTGGTCCCAAAATCAAAAGTGCCTGGACACTTTCCGCATGAAACCTTATGCGTCATAATTTGCGATTCAAACCTCCGTATAGCCTTGGGACTGCTGACTAGGACCTGGTTTATAACTCAAAGGATCAACAACACAATTACGCTGAATGGCCGTATTCTACGTAATGGTAGGTTCGGAAACGTGGTGACACTTTGAACTCAGCTGCGACAATGGCAGGACGCGAAGAAACCGATTCGACTGACCAGCATTTTGAGCAATGTGTTCTGTAATACCTTCTCAGAATGGTTTTCAGTTTTACAGCAATGCAAGTGCAGACTACACACTTCTCAATTTGAAAGCAGTGTAGGAAATCACTAGGATTGAGATTGTCAAAAAACATTGCCCCAGCTTATGCTAAAATATCAGGTACAAGTACTTGGCATTTGAATCCAAACAAATGTAATGCATAAATTGATAAGAAGTAGACACAGCTGGACTGAGGTATAGGTACCACAATCCCCAAGTAAGGATAAAATAACTGTGTCGCTGAGGTAACTGACAGTCGTGTGCCTTTGTCGCCCTGTTACGCAATGTCTAGTCTCTATACAATTCATTTACACAGTTGTAACGCCTACTAGTTTGTTGCCATTGTGCCATGGTGTCAAGCACACCCGAATTCAGAGCGTTTTCTCAATTTACTTTCTGTAATAAAACTGTCCAAAACGACTCTCTTCATACCTGGGCCTGATCAGTAAATGATTTAATTCGACAGTTATTGGTTGTGTTTAATCAATTGATCCTATTAAACAGCCCTAATCTCGAATAGGATTTGTACACTTTACATGACTTGAGCATTTGAATATCAATTGATCCCATCAACCTGCATTGCCTTCATTCGGATCAACATTTGACATTATCTGAGCATCGTAAATGATGATCGTGAGTTGGATGCTAAGTCGTCGATGGCCCATTGTTTGGGATGTCGAAAATCGAAACCATGTAAATGAAAAATAAAGCGGGTGACAAATTACATGAGCACATTGTTATGTTCACGTGCTGCGAATGTCATTCCAATAGACGAGTCAGTTGGAACATGAATTGGTTCCAGTGCGATTACAGCATGAAGAGCGTAATTTCAAATCAGCTGTAGGCTTGTTGCAGACGCAATCGTGGTTTAACGAGGCGGTTTCATGTAATCTTGCTCTTTGCACTCAACAACAAGCCATAGTTGTGTCGTTTAACTACTCTGGATGGTTCATCGTAAGTCGGTTGAGGCTACCGACTGGTTTCGTCGTGCCTAATAAACATTTGAGCCAGCAGTTGAGACAGGTGAACTGGGTTGAGTGAAGGTTTGCTTGCACAGTGTCGCAAGTGGCTGAGGAGGTCCGGTCACGAAACTTTGGGGAAGCAGCAGTCAATGTTTTCTGTTATGGCCGTTGGAATTAGAAGTAGGACAAGTAACAGGGCTGTTAGTTTCTCAACAACCCGGATGGATTTAAACGTGCAACATGGCCTTCAGTTGAGGGCATAAAACTTGAGAGCAAACGGTTTGCACGAGAATGGTGAGTGGCAATCTGCGGCGTGTTCGTTCCTCACAGTCGGCTAAGAACACGAGAGAGTACTGACTCCGACTTCCTTCTGCAATCCGACAGGCGGAAAGCGATGTTGCCACGGTTGTGGAAGGCTTGAACCCACACGATTGCCATATTTAGCTTCCCGAATCAATGCCGTTTTGAGTCAGGGTGGTAGTCTGTGGTCTGTGTGAACGAGAATGACGAAACGACCTCATGTGTGAAGTCAGAAAAGGTGCGGCTGACACTTCCTTATGATCCTTTATTCGGCACGTTCGTGTTAGTCACGCAAACAGTTTGTTAACACCCCGCCTAAAGGTACAAATTGCATGCTGTCACTGCAGTTCCTGGTTAAATTCACCCTCAGGTTAACGAGTTCACTGAGATGCCACCCAAACCCCAACAACCACCATGCACCTTAACCAGACTAATTGCAGGTCTCAATTTTAAATTTCAATCTTTTCGTGAAATTGAAACTTGTGTTGGGCCTGTTCATGTCCGCGGGGTCATCGCACAACCTGCAGTCTGTCACATGGTTGAGGTGGTGATGAGTTTGCTCCAATCCCCATGTCTCAAATCCTCATGCCACCAACCTGCCGTTGCGACGTTATATTTTGCATTTTGCAAACAGCCTGAGGATGCTGCGGTAATTTGGTCGATGTGAATCGAGGGATTTCCTGGATAGACAGAACTAACTCGTCGCCAGTATATTCACGCGAGTTGTCAAAGCTTGCACATGATTTATCCAGCATGACACAGGATTAAAGGTTTCCACGGTGTATGTGATCTGTTAGCATTGAACCACGTGATACGACACATATCTGACTAACACCATAGATCAGGATGCGATCTGTGCTATTTGACATTTGTCCAACCGATGTATTTCACTACCAGATCATTTCCCTGCCCATTTCTTCGGTACTGTAAGAGAAGAAATTGGGTTCTGGGAAAGCCCCTTATTCTTGTGCTTGTTATCACTTCCCTGATAAACAGTTTGAGCGAACTTGGCTGAATACAATTGATCAAACTGACTTACCGACCAACCTAGAATGGACGAGTTACTGGTACAGAAAAAAGTGTATGTTATTAAATGTCCGGACGAAACATGCTTGTCAACTGCAAAAGGGTTTATGAATAAGAACGCTCCCGTTTGACGAAAGCAAATGGCAGGGCACCTATTTTCGTGAGAATTTCCTGCAATTCTAGAACCAGGCACATGTTCATTTGCGCTGGCAACATGCCCTCAGGACGAGATAAGCCTTAGACTTAGCTCATCTCGTGGTGTTTTTCATCTTTAAGCGTCTCGTTCTAGATGTGTGAACATGTGGATCAGACACGCACGCAAGCTATGCAAGAAGTAGAAGCGGATTCCCTGTTTTCTCAGTCCGACAAAATGTCGCTCAAAATCCGCGAACTTTGTGAAATCACACAATGAAATTCGTGGCGGTAGCTCTCTCAGTGGAGGCGTTTTGCCACTGTTTCTGTGGAAATAAATTAGTCCTACTTTTTAAACACTATCGACACATTTGCATTCAAGCTACCTAGAACTGGCCATCCAGTAGTCGTTTTACGAATTCGTTTTGGTGATGTTTACGACAATTACACTCTATTATTTGCGCAGATATTAACTTGCCTTTGTTTCTGTATAAATAGATTTCACTGTTTCTACAATTCTGGCGCATGTTAATCACATTTATGGACCGAACTATTATGCATTGTTCTTCTGCTGTCAAGAAAAGCCGATTCTAAATGGAGCAAGACCTTTATGCCCGTATTTCAGCCAGTGCTCTACGCCTAGGTGTTACTGAGCTAGCTAGCCTTCAAAAGCATCATAACATGAAGCATGCGACACGACCACTTTATTGACACACATAACTACAACTAGAACATTCAAGAGCAGACACAAACGAGGACGTATTCAGACACAGGGAGCTTTGGACTCAAAAACACGGAACATGGCTGTTAAAAGGAAGCTAACTAGAGCACCTGTGGCCGAGCCCACCTGATTGGCGACTCCCAAAGTACGAAGATTCCTCTGGCTTCCAAACTTAACCAAATGCAGTGTGATCCATGTCCTCTGTACATTGAAGGCTGCGGTCATCAGGATCCAAGCAAGAACCTACAAGAGAAAAATAAATGAGCACACATATTTCCTCAACAGTCTTGACAAGCGAGTCGAAAATACCGCCCTAATGAATGATTTCTTCAAATGTTTAATTTGAGCAATAGATCCGAGTGTGTAAAAAACAGATGCTTAAACTCGACACATCGGGTGTGGGTGGTGTGGAACAGTGGCAGTTATCGTGACCAGCAATTGAGAAAAACGCATTGAACAAAACGCCTGCACATTAGGTGGGATAGTACTTACACCCGCATATATAATCTGATGCATTTCTGTAAATCGGATACACGGATATCCCTACGCGGCATGCAGCACCAAGAAGGGAGTGGGCGAAGCTGGCTTTTACGTAATGACTTAAAGTTGTAAGCATTGAACTTGTTAGAAATCGAACTTGCCGCAAAGACTGGTCCTGCTCCTCCGAGTGCAGGTGGTGCTGGCGAAGAAGCAGCCAAATAGACGATGTATCCAGAAGGGATTGAGGCAATAAAGCTAATGACCACCAGGATAACCGCCAGTCGGTTACCTTGTACAGAGGCCATCGCGGAAACGGTGTGCTGCTCACCATTTGTGGATTGTGAGTCCTGGTTCTATAACATGATCAGACAACACAATGCCAGTTACGCAAATGATGGGTACAGGTTCATAACTCAGTTCTAACGGCATCTCGGGGCGTACTTGAGCCAGAGCCCATTTCGTACAATCAAAAGTGTATTGGACGAATTTGCTCTTCACACGTCGCATCATGTTTAGCTTATGGTTATCGGTATGGTCAATATCAACACGCTCACCCTTTTCGCGATTATCCTGCTGTTGCATTAGAGAAAAAAGGTGAGGTTATTCAACAACGTGAACACAATCCAACGGATCGCAAATGACTCCGAAGAATGGAAAAAAAGCAATACTGTCGTAACACTACTCCGTTGACCGCAGAAAGCAATTGAGTCCATTAATGACCGAGTTCGTCAATCAAGTACATGTCACCCCCACACCATCTTCAAAAATGAGCAAATTGGTGAGGTTTGCACTACACCCGTGGGAACGCCGTTCCACGAAACTAAACAGACAACTTGCCACTGATCAATGAACGGTTGCACTTCTACATCGGTTCGGGCTGGTCAAAACCGATTTAGAAATGCTCGATTTGATAAAGGTCACAGCTATTCCGAACACAAGAGGCCGCGTCACTCGAATAAGTTAAGGTACTCAAAAAAAGAAACTACGATGCCATCTGGAGGTTCGCATCTACGCCCAAAGAGGTGAAACTCAAGTTATGGGTTTGGATTCCGCAACTAGTTCTCCATCGGTACGTTGTGCTTTCGGCCCTGTCGCAAGTGGTGCGACTTACGTAACTGAGCCAAGAGCCGAACTCACCATTAACGACTTTCGACTGCCACGGCAGAAGATTGACCTGATGCAAAGGCCCAATTGCTCATAGCCGTATGCGGTCGTTAAGATCAGAGCCACGATGGGAGCGGTCAGACCAGAAAGCGTGACAGCAAGGTGATAGGTTAGTGTACTGTAGGCAGCTGTCGAGAAGGACTGTAGTGACGGTAGTAGGCCATTAGTAAGGCAACTCGAGTAGCCGGTGAGAAGGAAAAAGATCCAAAACAAACTTTCGGGATTGGCTGTTGGTGGTTTACCTGGCAAGATTTTTCAGGGCAAACAAAACGCTTTAGCGACTGAATAATATTAACATTAGATAACCAAACAGGGCTAAGGAAATCCACTACCCTAAGCCAACTTTAGTCTTTCTCAACCTATTTTGAATTAACTATTTCACGATTTTCCCTTTCCAGCGTCAAATCCTATTTGAAGTACAACCAGGAGACCATTAAAACTCCCTTTAACTAGAGGCATTGTAGAAGCGAAGTTATGCGAACCTGCAATTATCGAAACCTCATTTAGGGTTGTCTCATCACCAGTCGCCGAACCAACTGTTGGAGCCATCTTTGACGCTTTCTTGCTGACTTCGTCCTCTTCCTCCTGATTGTTTGTTGGCAGGGAGTGGTGCTTTTGGTAAGCTAGCGTCACCGATCTACCAAGTCCTGTTGGCAAGCAGTCGAGCAGAGTGAAAGCAAGGAGACTTAGAACCGTCGTCCCCGCGATCAAACCCATGAAAGTAGACACAGAAAAGTGAGGTCCTGAGTACTCTGGAACAAATCCCAGTGTACCATTTCCTATAGGAAGGAAAACAATTAATGTGTGGGTGGACATGGGACTGCAGCACTGGCGTCATTACCCTGACCTGGTCACAAGCAAGATTGGTATGGTCAGCGGGCCTAATTTATGCACTTAAGGTGCAAATTAATAACCCAGTCTAGCTTAAATAGACAGTTTTATTCATATGCAATTAAAACGAAATTTAGAAAAAAGGAAATTAAAGACAAAACATTCGCATAACGTTCCTGTCAACTGGCGCAAGTGCAAGAAACAGAAGCAGCTAAACTGATTCGACACGGGTGCCTGATGACCCACTTGGTGGCGCTATCACTAGACACTTGGTCCGCGGAGTGACATTCAGCTTGTGATACGACGGTGGGCACACCAGCCCCACAGTTGGACTGCAGGTTAGGATACATGGTAACAAGCCAAACACGAGTTCACGCTTTTGGGGTTGGGCTTCGCCACCCGCAAACACCATGACCTCGACGGGAATAGAAATCATACCAAACACTGTTGACAGTGCCACGAGTTCGCCGCACGATACACACCACTACAGATGGTGAAGTGACCACTACCAAATGCATATAAGTCTACAGTCTTCCCACAGATTTCATTTCCATGTAACACTGCCATGGAACTTCTAGTTGTGAGCACGCTTTACTCAATCCAGTTAGGCTAATTGAGGTCAGGGTTACAGTTTTGAATCTATTTCTTAATTTAGCAATAATGGTTTGGTCACCAAGGCAACGCTTCTAGACCACAGACATGGTTCACACATAGTCGCACACTACAATGCATCGATTGCATCAAAGTGTCTTTAAGAAGCATGGCTTCGTAACAGGTTGCAACATCATAGCAAGCAACAACAGCAGCTAGTCTTGCTCGTTGAAGTCACACATACACATATATGCGCAGCCTTACCGAGTGAAACACTGATAACAAAATGACAACTGCTACTGAAAATTGAAAGTGAAGTGAGCTACCACAAAAACCAACTGTAGTCAATCCCTTACGCTACCACTTTATCAAGGCAAGGCAAAATGCCCGTCTGCGTAGAGAAGATGACTTATGTCAAAACGAAAGAAAACGATCACTATCGGACTTGCCTGTGGGAGTTGGGATACACGTTGGTTCCGTGTATGCGCCCTGCGCCAAGGCAAAGAGGCTGGGCAGTAGACCAGATGCCGTCTCGCCAAAAAGGAGCGCACCAGCGTAGACTGCTGGCATGTTGGCCAAGTAGGCCAGAAATGTAACCGACGACATGCAGTCGATCATGCCCAGAGCAAATGTCAAAATGAAGAGACCCAGGCTGTGTCCATGCAGTGCGTTATATGTTCCCCCATCCATGACTGCGTTGGGAGGTAGACCCGGCATAATAACCACGGCCTAATGGAAAGAAAGTTCAAAATGCAAGCCAGACCAATGCCACTGTTAAACTTAATTTGAGCCGTGTTATCGCGACGGACGTGTGACTACATGCCTTCAAATTTCCCTGGTCCCGGCACTTGAATACATCGATACACACAGGTGACAGAATGTGCACTTTACCAGAAACCACCACAACTGCTCCCGCTCAACGGCGTAAGCCCTCTGGTTAGAAAACAGATGAGCAGTAGTAGTAGTGGCTTGACGACAGAACCCAGCACTTCTAGAAGGCTGGAGCTGTTATTTACCAATGGCTCCACGAAGTGGCCCAGAGTATAATCTTGGGTTTCACATGACCTGACATGTTGAAATCACACTATTGTGAAAACGTACACACGATAACAAGGCTTTTCCCGATCCGATTGAAAAAAGATATGACGGTAGGTCCTCCTAACCTTTGATTGCGCAAAATCAACGCACTACAGACTCACTAGGCAGCCTTGTTATAATAAGCTTGGACAGGGCAAAAGCAGGCTTATTGTTGATAAAAAACCACTATTTTCGACCGAGTTAGTACGGGTGCACAGACTTTAATCAAAAAGTAGGTTATGCACGAAGCCTAGGAATGCGGAAAATGCATGCTACCTCGACCAACTGTGAATAGTCAATTACCAAACAGCGCTATAAGTATACTCACGCATGTACTTCCCGTAAATGTAACGCAAACGGCAATTGCGCAGCGGAACTACACACTACACCTTTTGCATTCATTCTACGAACTTCACACTCAAATCGTAATGGCTCTGAGGTGTCGAACTACGTTCCAGCCATGTTGGCTTCAACCACCCATTGAAGTAAAACGAAAGTGCGTGGCGACAGTCAGGAGTTTATTCATTTTTTCTGTTCAGGCTTGTTTTGGCATCTGCGTGTACCTGAAATTATCCGCAGTATTTTGCAAATAATGAACGCCAGGGGTCGTGTGTAAATCAATGGATAGTTAGTTAGGTGAATACAAAAAGCAATCCGATAGTTACATGACATGAGAATAATGATCTACAAGCTAGACATATGAATTCTGCTCCTTTAATCACGGCCACGAACTGCTATAAACCCAAGCGTTTCACCAGGTGTAAAATGGTGGAGCACACGCCGAGCGCTGTTATCCTGGCACAATGACTAGCATAAAGGCCTGAAATTTAAATATCACTAGGTGCTAGGACCACAGTATTTATTAACACCATTTTTTGAACTTTAGAAATTTCACGCCTCACGTAACATTATTAGGATGTCACAGAAATCAGGCGGTAATACTGGCTTCGTAGTTCCACTATTATCAATGCAAAATCGTCGATAAAAAAGCAACACTCACGTCCCAGAATTGCGTCAAGAGAAGGGAGGCAACCAGCCCGACGATGAGTATAGTGTAATTGGCTAGTCTTTCTGGGGGCTGAACGAGTCGCATCAACCAACTCTCGCTGTGCCCACGCCCAAAGGCACGACCGATCCTTGTAACAAGTACGTAAAGTAGGGGTCCGATATTGGCCAACTTAAAAAATGGAAAAGAAGTAAAACTTATGACTTATGCGAAACCTAGAGGCATGATCGGGTCCTTGACAAGGCCTCTTAATTCCTTGTGAAAACGCATGGCCACGTAAATTTAACATGCCTGACTACAGGCCTGCTTAAATTTATGTATGGAAGAGTGATTACTGACAATGCCCACATCAAACCAATATGCCACGTGAATGAAATGCAAGTCTTTCTGTGGGCTGACGTATAAGTGCCAATGATCATGACAGGAACACGCGTTAATATTACCAAACGCGACATTACTAAATAAAACAGGAAACAACCGAGGGATACAATGCTTTATATGTTTGAGATCAAAATCTGAAACCCCATTCCTGAACATGCTCAAGTTGTGGTTTATCATGAATTTCAAAAGTATCGCTAGTTAGAAAGGCGTAAAGAAGGTATCAGTAGACTGTGTGAAAGAAGAAAGGTTAACCCTATGGGCCGAGTCCATCATTACCGATCATAAGCAATCTTGAAGCCCAATGCCAGCAACAACAACAGGGTAAAGCTTATCAAATGATAACGAAACGTGTATTTTGTCAGCTTATTTTTAAGACGCACTTGTCATTCAGTGAATTTGTCTCTGATTTTGCCGACGTGTGGTCAAAGAGAGCACTTCAGCCAATACACAGAAATCAGACCCATGTCATAAACAGGTCGCTTCTAGCAAGCAAGGGTATGCAGAAAGTCGCCGGCTTTCGCGAGGCTTCGCTGACAAATTAGAACCGTTTTACATGAGCCATGGTGCGTTCAAAACCTTGGAACAACACTTAACTTGTCTAGGCTCGTAAATGCGTATTACTCTGTGAAAGAAATTGCTCTCTTTTCCTAAGGCTTACAGTAGAACAACTGGCTTCCAAAATCTAAATAGAAGCATTGTTTACACAAAAGCAGCTATGCGGGATTTCCACTTGGCTTGGCGTTACAACCAAAGATTGTCAAAGTTGTGAGTCGATCACCACCATGCGATATTTGAATCTTGAAAGTAAACATTAAACAAGGCCAAGATGGTTTTACAACGGTGCCAATTTGTCACAAGCGGTACCAAACATTTCCCACTCTACAGACCCGAAAGCGGCAACTACTTTTCTCCAGATGCAAATCGTGAAGCAAATTCTTACCGCACGATGACAACCATTATTTTCGTTCCCGTACTAGTCCATGATGCAAAAAAGAATGCTACACATACACTTAGTGTGATTCTTTACTTTATACTTGGTGGCACATTTCTTACTCTAGAAGTTACAAAGCCTTTGATGGCTTCCCAGGAATAAACTTGTTTGAACTGTAAATGTAACATCAGTCATACGATCCCGATAAAGCAACACAAATGGGCACAACACGAAATTTAGCATCCACTACAAATGGCAGGGGCAGTTTCAAGAGGCACACTTACCTGGATAATTATAGCCAGGTAAGCCGGAAGATTCCATCCTTCTGGAAGTACATTTACCAGAAGCGGAAGCTCCATCCACAGCCCGTTGATAGCAACCCATGAACTTATTCCAAACACTACTAGGAGAATAGCGATCCACCAAGAAAAGGAAATGTTAGCAACTTGGTCGTCGCCTGCCTCCACTGCGGTGGGGACGTCGGTGGATTCAAAGTCATCTAGTCCAGGAGCAGAAGACATTTCGAGCGAAAATTCTTAGATTGAACAAACAAACCTAAAACAATTTTGGAGCAAATATAAATGTTTTGTTTTTGTATGAAATCAGGACAACAAGTAGAGTGGCTTGGCATTCCCATATTTGGACTAGACTTTCTTGCTAAAAGCGTTAGCTAACAACCCTACAACTAGACACAGGGATGACCAAGAAATAAACGAAGCAATCAGTCTAAATTACATGGGTTAATTAAAAAAACGAGTCATCCGATAAGCCTATTGGTCTGACATAACGCTGGGTAACAAATGTTCTCATCAAGAATTTGTCAACAGTCTCGTTGGCCATTTTATTATAGTATTCAGTACAGGCAGTTATTTGCACTTATCGAAAACTCAAGAATTCGATCCATTAATAAGCCAACACTGGAAATCTAAAAGTAAAGGCACCAATACCTAATTTTCAGTTTAGACTAAGTACACCACTTCAAGATATCGTCTTCACATTAAACCAAGAAACCTGTTAAGGAAGAGTAGGATCCAATGCGTGAAAGTTATAGCTTTCAGGTAGTAATAGGGCGAAATGCAACACAAGGACTTTAAACCATCTGGAATCTAAATGCACTTAAGCCCCATTAAAACAGTTGAAGACCTGCAAACATTATTCACCAAATTTTAATTCACATAATCTTAATGGCACAGTTGCTATGAGGATCATTTGCAACAATTAACATCAGAGAAACGAATAGGACTAAGTCGTGCATCAACATACAGAGATCTATCGAACTAAGCCCGCAACATAGAAATACGCAGTTAGTCCAATTTAGAAAAAAACAATGCATGTTAATATAATGACTGAACTTTGAGCAAAATCAGAATAA